CCATGCCTGCTTGGGAGAAACAGAGAGCACATAAGGGAAGAGGCAGAGCCTACCTGGAAAGGGCAGTGGAGTGGGCTGGAGGGCACTGGCTGAAACAGACAGAGGAAGGGTGTGAGTCTCTGCTCAGCTTTGGAGGACTGGTCCCTTCTCGCTCCCCCCCCACGGGTCTCAGCATCCCTCTCCTCCTCTCGGAGACCCCCTTTCCAAAGGCCTCATCTCCTCTGTCTAGGACCACCCCACCAACTCCCTATCCCGGTGGTCCATAGACCACGGCAGATGTGCCCTGGACCCATTTGCCTACTATAGCAAACTCTCATGAGCGCCCGAGGATTGTCTCTACAACAAAGCAGAGTTTTGGTTTCTTTTTTTTTTTTTTTTTTTTTTTTTTTTTTTTTTTTTTTAGAGAAGGTTTTTTTTTTTGTTTTTTTTTTTTTTGGTTTTTCGAGACAGAGTTTCTCTGTGTAGCTTTGGAGCCTATCCTGGCACTAGCTCTGGAGAGCGGGCTGGCCTCGAACTCACAGAGATCCTCCTGCCTCTACCTCCCGAGTGCTAGGAATAAAGGCGCGCGCCACCGCCGCCCGGCTCTCATATGTGTATGTGTGTGTGGAGGTCAAAGGACAATTTGTAGGAGTTGGATCTTTCCCTCGACCATATGGGTCTCAGGGATTGAACTCCGCGGTTGTGGCAAGTGCCTTTATCTGCCAAGTCATCTCACTAGTCATTTCAGTATTATTTTAAAATTTATTTTATTGTGTGGGTGTTTTGCCTGCTTGCTGTCTGTGCGCTACATGCAGTATCACCAGAGGCCAGAAGAGGGCATCAGATCCCTTGGAACTGAAGTTACAGGTGGTTGTGAGCCGCTGTGAGAATTTGGGTCCTCTGGAAAAGCAGCAAGTGCTCTTAACCAGTGAGCCATATTCTCCAGTCCTTTGTTTGAATTTGCTTTGAAATTTTTAGCCCCCTGATTCTACTTCCTAGGTGCTGAGGTTACAGGTCTTGATCAACATTCCTCATGCTTCTTTGAATACATATAGTGTGTGTGTGTGTGTGCATGTATCATGTACATAGGACAACAACTTTGGGAAGTTTGATCTCTTTCCACGGTGTAGGTTCTAGGAATCTAGCTCAGGTCCTTAGGCTTAATGACAAGCTTCCTTACCCGCTGAGTGATTTTGCCTATCTTATTCTTTTTGCTTGTTTTTCAAGACAGGGTCTCTCTGTGTAGCCCTAGCTGTCCTGGAACTCCCTCTGTAGATCAGGCTGGCCTCAAACTCAGAGATCCACCTGCCTCTGCCTCCTGAGTGCTGGGACTAAAGGCTAGTTTTTGTTTTGTTTGTTTGGCTTTTTGAGGACAAGGTTTCTCCGTGTAGCTCTGGCTGTAGACCAAGCTAGCCTCAAATTCAGAGATCTGTCTGCCTCTGTCTCCTAAGTGCTGGGATTTAAAGACATGTACCACCACTGCCTGGTTTGTTTGTTTGTTTTTAAAGAGATTTATTTATTTATTATGTATACAGTGTTCTGCCTGCAGTGTGCCTGCAGGCCAGGAGAAGGTATCAGATCTCATTACAGATGGTTGTGAGCCACCATATGGTTGCGGGGAATTGAACTCAGGACCTCTGGGAGAGCAGCCAGTGATCTTAACCACTGAGCTACCTCTCCAGCCCCTTGCTTTTGTTGTTTTGAGACAGGGTTTCATGTAGCCCAGGCTGGCTCTTCTGGTTTTACTTTCCAAATACTGAGATTACAAATATGTACCGCCCATGCCTTGTCTCCCACCATAGCTGGACTGTGGGGGAAACTGAGAGCTAGAAAGGGGTAGCAGGAGCTGGCTGGGAATACTCACCCAGGGGGAAGAGAAGAAGGAAGGACAGTGCTGGGGAGAAAGGCAGAGGGCCAGCACCCCCATCTCCAGGCTTCCATCCCATGCTCCACTCATCAGGCTGGGGACCAATTTGCATGTCTGCTTCCTTGTGTGCCCAGCCAGTGGATAGCTTTTCAGAGGGTCCCATCAAGAATCCAAGGAGGAGTCACAACTGGAACATCTGGAACTCAAGATCCCCAGTGTTTACTTCCAGCTGCTAGGCCAGCTCCACATGGGATTGACATTCCTAGTGGAGGGAAAGGTACCACAGCTAGAAGGTGAGAAAGATGGGTGTGGACCAGGACAAGGCTCAGTAGAATGCTTGCCTAGAATCTGCCATTGAGAATCTGGAGGAATGGTTCCACAGGCGGTAGAGTTTACCCATAATCCCTTATTGAGGAGCCAGGGGTGTGGCTCAGGGGTAGAGTCCCTGCTGAACTCATTCAGGCCCTAAGTCTATTCACAAAAGGGGAAGGAAAAAAAAAAAGATGGCGTGAGCATGGAAATTAAGGAGTTGCATTTGGCTGAAGCTGAGGTTGTGTGAAGACAAAAAATGGCATGTGGGCTCAGCAGGCTGATGGGTCCCAACCAAGACAGACCCAGTGGCTCAGAGTTTAATCCTCCAGGGCTTCATAGCCCAAAGTGTGGCTGGTACTATGGGTGGTATTTAAATAACCCAGTTAATTTTAGGGGGCTGTAGTTACATATTTAATCTTTATTTATCTATTTACTTAGTTTGTTACATTATTATTATTTCGGTTTTTTTAAAGTGTTTCTTTGTGTCCTGGAACTTGCTCTGTAGACCAGGCTGGCCTTAACTCAGAGATCTGCCTGCCTCTGCCTCCCGAGTGCTGGAATCAAAGGTGTGCATCACCAACACTCAGCTTGTTTGGTTGGGTTTTTTTTTTATGATCTGACTTCATGCTTTTTAGTTTTTTTAAAGATTTGTTTATTATATATACAGTGTTCTGCCTGCATGTGTCCCTGCAGGCCAAAAGAGGGCACCAGATCTCATTACAGATGGTTGTGAGCCACCATGTGGTTGCTGGGAATTAACTCAGAACCTCTGGAAGAGCAGCCAGTGCTCTTAACCTCTGAGCCATCTCTCCAGCCCATTTGGTTGGTTTTTTAAGACAGAGTTTTACTATATAGATCTGCCTGTCATAGAATTGATTATGTGGACCATGCCGGGCTTGATCTCACAGAGTCCTGCCTGCCTCCTGAGTACAGATCCTGTCTCAAGAAATAAGGTTCAGTGAGTGAGGAGGACATTGGACATCAACATCTGGCCTCCCATGCATTTTATGTGTGTTCACGACTGCAAAGACACACACACACACACACACACACACACACACACGCTCATGTGCTCCAGAAAGATGGAGCCAGGAAGATTAGTACAGGTCAGGCTAGGGAGATGGCTCAGTAGTGAAGACCACTCGCACTCACTGCTCTTCCAGAAGGACCCAGGTTCATTCCCAGCACTTGCATGGTGACTCACAACCACCCCCTAATGTCAGTTCCAGAGGACCCAGTGCCCTCTTCTGACCTCTGTAGGTCCCAGCCACATGGTGCCCATACACAAAATACTCATGTATATTCAATAAATAAATATTTTTAAAAAGTTCAAGGTCACCCTTAGCTACATAGTAAGATTGAAGTCATCCTGAGCTACTATGAGATTCTGTCTCAAAAGTCAAACAAGACAAAAATCACATTATAGTTATTTACTTCTGAAGCAGAATTGTCACAAGTTTGAGGCAAAGCCTGGCTACCTGCTAAGTACCAGTTGTGTAGCTCAGGTTAGCCTTGAAAATGAGATGATCTCTCTGTGAGTTTGAAGCCATCCTAGTCTACATAGAGAGCTTCAGGCAAGCAGAGGCTACATAGCCAAATCCTGTCTTAAAAACAAACAAACAAACAAACAAACAAAACAAAACAAAAACAAAATTTCCAGAGGCAAGCTGGAGAGATGGCTCATCGATTAAGAGCACTGGCTGCTCTTCCAGATGACCTGGGCTCAATTCCCAGCACCCACACAACAGCTCACAGCTGTCTGTAATTCCATTCCCAAGGGACCTGGCACACTGACACAGACATACTTGCAGGCAATATACCACATAAAAATAAATAAATCTTGGGCTGGAGAGATGGCTCAGAGGTTAACAGCACTGACTGCTCTTCCAAAGGTCCTGAGTTCAATTCCCAGCAACCACATGGTGGCTCACAACCATCCGTTATGAGATCTGGTGCCCTCTTCTGGTGTGTAGGGACACATGCAGGCAGAACACTGTATACACAATAAATAAATAAATCTTTAAAATAAAATTCTCCGTCATAGGTAGACCACTATGAGTTTGAGGGCCAGCCTGGTCTAAATGAGAGTTGTAGGCCAGCCAGAGCATGCCTAAAAACAAACAAATATATAAATAATACTATCTGTGAATCTCAATGAAATTTTACATAGTTCATGTACTCAGCACTCAGACTGTCCCACAGGTGTATCCCTTTCCTCGAAGCCTTCAGCAGGAGTGTGAATCTGGTGTTGAGTGTTTGGGCTTGGACCAACGGAGGCTGTTTTGGAGGCTGACAGGGCTCTCAGGACTCCAGGTCATAAGTCGAGGGAGAAGTACAAATGCAGAAAATGGCTGGAGTGGAGAGGGGGCAGAACTGGGCTTGCGTGGGCTGGAGGAAAGAAGTACACACCTGCCACCCAGCCGCTTCGGGGATGGGCATGGCAGCAATTGGTAGAGGAGAAATGGTCCTGTGTGGGGATACATAGAATCTAAGGTACCCAGGGGCATGGTGCCCCTCCCTGGAGGATCTCTCCCTGGCTTTTGACTACACCCTGGCATGCCGACAGTGCATTCGGGCAGAGAGGTGAAAACAGATCTGGATGTGGACACGAGGTTTTCAACACCCCATTCATGGGAGCCCAGGATAGCCCCCTGCAAAAAAAATACCTTTTGTGC